CTGGTGACTCTCAGGTCAGAACAAGGTGGGCAGGCAGCCCTCACCCTTCCTCCCTCTCTCTAGGATGGCTGCCTGATAGACCCTTCCTCGCGGTGCAGCCAGGCCCCAGGGTGGCCTCAGGAGAGAACGTGACCCTGCGGTGTCACTCACAGAGCCCAAGGGACACGTTTCTTCTGTGCAAGAAGGGGGCAGCCGGTCCCCCCCTGCGTCTGAGATCAAAGTACCGAGCCGGGCAGTACCAGGCAGAGTTCTCCATGAGTCCTGTGACCTCTGCCCACGGGGGCACCTACAGGTGCTACAGCTCAAATGGCACCTCCCCCTTCCTCCTGTCACTCCCCAGTGAGTCCCTGGAGCTCCTGGTCTCAGGTGAGGAACCCCCAGCCCTTTCTGCTGAGCTGTCAGCTCAGGGTCCTGTCCCCAGAAGGATTATGGGCTTGAAAGGGAGGGAGGGGCTCTGGGGATCATCACCCAGAGGTGATCTGACACTCAGAGACACTCTGCCCCGTGCTCAGCCCTCCCCCTCACCTGGTCCAGAAGGTACTAGGTGGGCACTGTGAGGGTCTGAGGGCAGATGCAGGAGGAGTCTGAGTGAGATGGGGAGCCAGGGTTGGCCCCAGAGTCTCACACTTTGTCCTCCTTCCCTAGACCCTCTGGTACCCCAGCTCCCCAACAACAGGGACCATGTCCACAGTTGTTCAATTCTGGGTCTCCTTGGCTCAGAGGGAGTACTGTCCACCCCAGGGAAGTTCTGAGTCTCTTAGAGGATCTAGCGCCCCCCCACCACGCCCCACTCGGAGACAGGCTTGTGTCCCAGGGGACCAAGTATTCTAGGAGAAATTTCAGGGAACTACTGAGCTCCAAGGCCTCTGAGGATTCTCCCCCCGCCCCATGGAGTCAGGCCTAAGAAGGAGAAGTGAGGCAGGTGACAGGTGGGTGGTCATGGCAGAGGGAGATGTTGGGGCCCAAGGCTGAGGGAGAAGTAGAGGCCGGAGAGTTGGAGAGAGGACAGGGGGACATTCCCTGGGCTGCTCATTTCCAGAGGCCCTTGGATGGAAGCCCTCACCACACAGGTGGGGTCCTGAGCCTTCTCAGAGCAGGACAGGTGGCTGCTCTGCCCAAGGTGGGATCTGCAGTGGGTGACAGTGCCGTACCCACTGCTGTAGTGAGAAGTGTCCCCACCTGTGGGCACCAGCCTGCAAGGCCCTGTTCCCCCTGGAGGCCTCCAGGCCCTCAGTCCCCACCTGAGACTCAGGTAAACCATGGAGGGCTCATGAGGAACTAGGGGGTCCGGCCCAGACACTGTGAAATTCACGTTTGCTCTCTGCATTTTCTGTGCATACCTCTCATTATTGCTCTTTTGCTGGAAACTTGTAGGCAATACTTGCATAAATAATTTTAAACTGCAAACATTTAGACTTTAAAAACATGGATTTCTCATTATTTTAACGGGGGTTATATTAAATCTATGTATTTATTATGAAGAATACCTTCTTATCTACATGAAGTTCCTTTAAAAAGATGCTTCAAAATATTAAAATTTAAAAATATGTCTTTATTGATTTCAGAGAGGAAGGGAGAGGGAGAGAGATACAGAAACATAAATGATGAGAGAGAATCATTGATCTTCTGCCTCTTGCATGCCCCACACAGGGGATTGAGCCCACAACCTAGGCATGTGCCCTGACCAGGATTCTAACCATGACCTCCAGGTTTATTGTTGGACGCTCAACCACTGAGCCACACCAGCTGGGCTCAAAATGTTAAATTTCGACTTCAGGTGCATTTTTTACTTTTTTTCAGAAAATTGTCCTCACTGATAGCTGAAGAATTGCTCAAGGTCTACATATATACATGTATGCATATTTGAGACCAACCCAGCACAGACAGTCGTGTCCTGTCAAGGGGTAGTGGCTACCCTGGGTGGACATCCAGGGTCCTGGGTTACTTTGTCCTGCCCTGACCTCTGTGACTCTTTTCCCATAATCCCCAGCCTCCCACTCCCAAGACTACACTGTGGAGAATTCCATCCGGATGGGCGTGGCTGGATTGGTCCTGTTGGCGCTCGGGGTGCTGCTCTTTTGGTCTCGAAACAGCCAGATAAACACCAGGATGCAGCCAGGACGTGAACATGGAGGGAACAATGCACAATTCAGAGAGGAGGATCTTGGGAAGGTTCTGTAAGATAATGTGGGACATATGCTGAGGGACCTGTCTGGGACTCCTTGCAGGTGGAGGAGTCATTGCTCATGTGCAGGGACAAGGTCTGGACCTTCTGCCCTTGAACTGTGGTCCTTTCCCTCCCGATCCCTGTGAGTCCGGTGACTGGTTCCTGACTTTCCCCATTTTGGTGAAATTAGCATTTATCCCAGGTGGCAGGCATAGGTCCACACCTCCCTACACTTGCATCGAATATGTTTTCCTTTATTGCTAACCACATGAACCTTCATGTCTGTATGGAGTCCCCATCTCCTGAGTCCAGAGCTCGCCGTCTATTGTAATCAATCTACAGGGTGCACAATCCATCCTGCAAGAGGTAAACCCACAGGAGGTCCTAACACCCTCTCTGGACTCCACACAGCCCTTCCCTGCCCTCCAAGGCCACCTGTGTACTTTCTGAAGAAACCTCACCCCTTGGGATGAAGGCCTGATTGTTTGAAGGGGTTTCCTGGTCTGCGCTGCTTCTGAAAACCCCATTGTCCAAAACACAGTGAAACACACAGAAAACTTGTTACAGATGTGCATCCTTGAAACCTATGTCATGTCATTCACCGATGGCACCCCAATAAATTTAATATAAAAACATTGATTCTTGGCATAGTTTACTTTCTCTGGTGTATATGCCCCCTTCATGGCCAACGTCAAGTGCCCATGTAAGGTCCTCACGCAGACTTGGAAAGCGACACACAAACCGACTTTCACAAAACAGTACAATTCAATGTGAGACACCGTTAATACCACATTGATAGCCCACAGTGCTCCTAAGTCCCTTCTAGTTGATGTGTAACGATGGTTTCTACTTTAATGTTGGGGCACAGTTTCTGTGAAAACAGGAGACCACAGTCCCAACATGTCCAGCTGAGATGCACAAAGGAATGTTTTACTATCAGTTGTGGGAGAGAATCATGAGTCCATAGAATCCTACTGCATTACTTGTAGGAGTGCCAATTATATTCATCAATTCAGAGACTACATGACACTCATCCAGTTAGAGACACACAGCTATGTCTTTAAGTACATGCTTTAGAGAAAATGTGCACATGTGCATCGACAAGAGTTATTCTTATTAACCAATTTCCCAGAAAAAAACGCTCTAAGATTGTATGCACAAGAAAAGAGACATTTTGGTGTCCTGTATAAAAAATTATCAAATAATATATATCAATCAAAATGCACAACTTGAAATTGCAAGGGTCATGTATATCCATCATCACATATAATAACTAATACATGTAGATTATTATAAAATGATGTATTTAGGATTATTCCATTTACCCAACATTAAAAAAGAGACATTAAAGAAAAGGAGACATTGTGTATTATTTAGGGATGTACACCTAAGATACACCTTGCAAATAAAGGAAAGAAAAGAATTCCAGGAAATCCATGATGATTACAAGTTGGGAAGTGTTGAGTGGTTTTGTTCAGGATGGAAACCACGGAGTCTTCTGGAATCATGGCCACCTTCTTCTCAATGTTCATTTGATGACTCATAAATCTACTTGTCACTACTCACAGATAGAGCATTTCTGTTCTATGACCTTCATTATTCCCCACACAAGTTAGTGAGGTGGAGATGAACTAGGGGGGAAAGCCACACCCTACACGAGTGACACATCTACCACTAAGTGGTTGCTGATCACGTGCAGCAAACCCTTCCCATGTGATCATTGTGTTTTTCAAACTCATGACCTCAACTGCCTGATCAGCCTCACCTGAGTCCAGT